GCCTGTATTTTTCCATTTAATAAAAGTTAAATCCAGCGGGCTTAGCTGCAGTTTACACACTGGGAAGTGTAAAGCACTGGAATTTACAAGCTTTCTGTACCATACACACACACACACACATTACAGCTAAACCAAAATTCTGCAAATATTCATTAAAATTCAGAAGCAAATTCAGCCATATTTACAGCTGCTTCACTTTTGCTTTCTGCAAATATTTGAGCACTTGTACTTTACTAGTGCAAATACCAGTGAATAATGAACTTTAATTTCAAATAACCTATGACCTTAGCAGAGGACATTCAGATATGAAATGTGCGGTCTGTATGCTATTCCAATGAGAAATGCGTGCTGATCAAGAAACAAGCAGTACTTCTAACTTCTGGAATTGGAAGTATCAAGTCTGAATACATTTTCACATAGGGAACTTTCAGCACAGAATTAAAAACAAAACAAGGACAACAAAAATCCTCACAGTGGCATCTCCATCTCAGCTGTGGCAGTAACACACCTCGAACAGCCAGAGCCAGAGGAGGCTGAACAACAGCAGGAGCTTCTGAACCTCTTTGGGGACTGGTGCACAGCCCAGAGCTCCACTAGGGCCCAGCATCCTAAGGAGAACCCCTGCCCAGCAAATGGGAGCATCCAACAGCCCGGCTCTCACGTTGACAAAAAGGAGAAGAGGATGATCATTGTTCAAGCATTTACTGAAAACTATTTTAATGTACTTAAGATACTATTCAGTTCGGAAAGCAATGTAAATGGGAGGTTAGCATTCAAAAGTACTTGTGGTTCACATTCAGCTCTTACTAAGTAGCTCAGAAAATGCCAGTTGGGGGATCAGCTGGGAGCTGGCAGTCAGCTGGGCGGTAGAGAAGGAAAAAGCCCCTTAGCCCAAATAGAACAGCCAGCTTCTCGCTTGCAGACCTTGCTGTGTTTTGGGAGTCACTTCCTAGACCGCCAAATCAGACGTAACCTGCTGCTGTAGGATGACTTACACACACTTACCTGACACAACAGCCACACTACACACGGTGCGAGTTTGGAGGTTGCTGTAAGCCATAGAAGAATAGCCACGGCAGGGCTTGGGTTGCCAGTTCTAACGATTGCAGAATTGCCTCCAGAAAAGAATCGGAGCTGCTGTGACACAAAGCTTTCAGTGTGTGAACAACCACTGCGCATCCGCCTCTTCTCCTCATGGCTCTGTTTTCTTCATCCTCGTTTCTCTGACGGAGAGAGACTTTGCACGGGCAAGTTCCCAGGCTATCAGCTATGAAACATTAGATTGGGATCAGTTGTCACAAAGAAACATTATTTTAACACAATTTTCCACTGCAAGTCATGCTCGAGTAACTTCTGAGTATGGTAACAAGTATTTTTCGAGTATGAGTAATGCTGTAAGAACATGTGCACCTGAACCCAGCAGGCACTCTGTGGCACTCAGAGCCTCCTCCTTGAATAGCACCCTTACATAGAGCACACGGGCTTCAGTATCTGTTTAGAGAGTGAGCTACACTGCCAGCAACCCTGGAAATAACCAGCTGGAGGGAAAAAAAAAGCGTCGGAAAAATAAATCTTTTCATTGCGGCTAATGCCCAACCTTCAGACACAGATAATCTCCTCGTGTTCATTCAGCTTCCGTGTCATTTCGTTCAGGCAAGTTTCCACGTTCCCAGCCTAAAACCTCTCTTAAAAACGCTACGGGCTTATTTTGTGGTTTGTTAATATAGGTGCAATGTAAACAACGGATTTGAGGATCTCGCATAGAAAGAACCCGTTTGGTACATAATCGTGTTTTAATGGACGGCGTTTGTAAACCGGTGAAACCGTACCGGGCTGTGAGCGCGTGTTTCCACCAGCGCGGAGCTGAGCGCTTACTCACGCACGTCTCGGGACACGAAATCCGCCCCCTGACGAACGCCATCGATGTCACTGGAGGCGGTCATCGCACGGCGGAGCTCCGGTTCTGGCGATTCCCTGCGGATCGCACGGAAAGGTGCAGCCCAGCGGCGGGCACAGCCCCAACCGGCCCAGGGCTGCCCTGCACCCCGACCCTCCCCGCAGCCGTTCCCCTTACCCGGTGCCAAAGGCCGTCCGTCTGTCTGCCCGCGAGGCTGTTTGCGGCCGGGAGCTGACGGAGGGCAGAGCCTGGCGTGGGTTTCCTCGAGAAGCTTCATAAAAAGCGAATGTAGGGCGTCGGAGCTGGAAACTCACCTGAAGGGCGTTTTGTTCAGAGAGCCGTCGTGACGTTCGCCGATTAACTGTGACCGGATCGGTGCTTAGACGTACGAAGAAACCGCTTTGATGGTGCTTTTCCAGCCCTCGGTCCACGCCCTTTGCTTTGCTTACAGAGAAAACATCGCCCGCGGCACCTCTGCTGCTGCGCTGACAGCGGGAGAGCCCGCAGCAGTGGGTGCGGGCCCGGCAGGGCTCACACATAGAGCACAGCACCGTGCACAGCGCTGCGAACGACCCCGGGCGCGGACAGCCTCTGCACCGCGGGCCCCGCAGCCCCGAGCCGCTGTGATCGACAGCCGGCTGCGCTCCGTGCGTCCGCGTCACGCTTCGTTCCGCTGTGAGAGGTAATTAAGAAACGGAGCCATCAGGCTGCATTGGGAGTGTGTGCGTTGGCACCAACCTGCTCGCTGCCGTTCCCTCCGGGCGGGCGGCGGTGCGGGGCGATACGGCTCAGAGCGCCGGGAGCGCAACGCGGAATGAGCGCTGCGGGACGGCTGCAACAGAATAACGTAGAAACTCATTAACAGTGGCTTACAGCGAACCGAGTATTTTATACAAAAAAATAAATTAAATATATATCGATATTTTTTTCTTTAAGTCGGATATAATTTCGTTTTCTTTCGGCTGATTTCTCACGTAGTAAGAGGAATTTGGTTTTAATTCTCATCCGTGTGGCCGCTCTGTTCCGTTCGCACGTCGCCGTGGTGCGGGCAGCTCTTTCCGAAAGGAAAGTTTGTCGTCAAAGTCAGCGCTGTTAAAACAAACGTTTTTAGGAGAATAACTCCACCGATGCGGAGGTCGCAGCAGCGCGGTGCCCTGCACACGGCTCTCCATTCATACCCCGCTCGCACACCATCTGACTGCCTGCTGGCAGCCAACACGAATACCACTACGGGCCGCCCGTCCCGCAGCCGCCAGCAAGTTCCCGGCCCTGCCCGTAGTGCTGGAAGCTCCCGGGGAGATCTTTCCTTCTGCCGGGAGAAGCCTGAAGCCTTACTGCTCCACCTCTGCAGCTCCCGGGGCGGTGGAATGCTGCCATCGCCCCGCGGTGCCACACATAGGGAAGCGGCTCCGGGCGGCTGCTCGCGGCTCCAGAAGGGCTCCGTCGCACCCCGCCTGCCCCAGTCCCCAAACCGAGGGCAGCAACCCGGGAGGACGCGCCCTGGAGCCGCTGCGTTCCCCTAGCGCTGTCTGGAGAAAAAAAAAGAAAAAAAAGAAAAAGAAAAAAGAAAAAAAAAAGAAAAAAGAAGTAAAATGAGATTTCTTATTTAACGCTTTTACGGACTGTGAAAAATAATCACTTGTTCACCACTTACTCAAATGTGAAAAGAAAATATTAACACGATATCACAAGTGCAACAGGAATAACGTTTCCAAAGCGCTACTTAACGTTAGGCACAGCCTGTCTGTCCGTTAAGTCAGGTAAAGGCAGCCGGGAATCCGCCTTCTAATTACACGCGGTTCCTCCTTTCGGCTGCGCTGAAGCTGCTGTGCTGCAGCAGAACCACGGGCTGAGAGGAGACGGGGAAGAGGCGGACAGACCGCGGGGTTCCGCTCCTCGAAAGCGCCGTCCTCGCCCTTCCCGACGCTGATCCCCGTCCCCAGGTCACGCCGAACCTTTCCAGCCGATTGTTTGTTTAAATCCAGGAGTCGTTTCAATGTAAGAATAAAAGCTGGCTTCCTGTTTACTCAGCACGGCCGTATCCTATGCTTACCGACGCCCCATCGCTCGGCCCGGCGGTTTGCTTAACGTGCTCTGGCAGCGGGAACCGGGGAGCACCTGGGGCAGGCAGGGCCGGGGGAGCGGGCTAATGACCGCCTGTAATTACTCAGCAGGCAAGCAATTAGCGCCCTGCAATTAGCGTTCCGCAGCCAAGGCTCGGCCTGGCCCTGTAAGGAAAGCCCGCAGCCCTCGGGGCCGGGCCCTGGGGCGGCTCTCCATCGCTCCCTGCCGCTCGCCACTTCCCGCAGCGCTTCTGGATTTTGTTGTTGTTGCTCTTTTTTTTTTCCAGGACGATGATAATTACATGTCGCTGTAGATGTTCTATCGTTCGAAACTTCGACGGAAAAAAAAGTACAGCAAGGAATCAGAAAATTAAAAATGAAACAGTGACACGGCTCCTTGCTACGTCGCCGCAACGAGCGCAGAGCCCCGGGGTCGGTGGAAGTTTTCTGCTCCCTGTGCCCGAGCTCTGCCCAGAGCGGCACCAACAGCGCTTCCCCAAAGCGGCATTTAGATGTGCCGCCGCATCTCAGCCGCCTGTTAGACAGCAATGACGCATTTCTTAGAGAAATGACGACCATCGTCTCCCCCTCTGAGCGCGGCCAAGGCCCGAGTGGCCTCCGGGTGTGACGCGTGGCCGAGAATGAAGAAAAAAATAAAACAACAAACAAAACCAAAAATACAAAGAAACGATTAAAAAGAAAATAAAAAGCATTACTCAGAGCAATAGTCCATAAAATACTTTATTGAAATAAAGTAAATATCTTCGCATTAATAAAACCGATCATAAAATGCAGTTTTCGAGTAACTGGGGGCACCACAGGGTTTCACGCAGCGAGCAACGCCGAGGGCGGACCTGGTGCCCCCCGGCCGCCGCGCACCGCGGATCTCAGGGCCGGGACCCGAGCCGTGCGCTCTGTGCTCCGACCGCGGCCCCACCGCCCTCTGCCCCCGTCCTCTGCCGCCCGGGCCGCTGCACACGGAGTTCCTCCCGCCCGGGGCTGCGCGCTCCGGGGCCCGGCGCGGCGCTGGGAGTCCCCGCGCATCCGGGCGGCGGCGGTGGGGCCGGGCCGTACCCTCACTCCTCCTGGCTGACCTCAGCTGGCGAGCCCAGGCTCTCGGGGGGTTTGTCGGCGTCCCGGGCGCGCTCCTGCTCCGAGAGCTGCTCGCTGCTGGGGATGGAGTTCTTCTTGGGGCGGCCCTTGGGCTTGGTGGGGGACTCCAGGCCTCCCCCCTGCAGCACCTGCGGGGCGGGGAGGTCACAGCGATAGCCGCGTAAAGCAGCGCTCCGGTCCGCGGTACCGGTGGGGAAAGGTCCCCGCTGCCCGAGCCGTACTGCGCGGAGCAGGGAGCGTGCTGTGGCCGCATGGAGCGGGGACATACACATATATCAAAACATACATATATATAATTTTTTCCCCCTGCAGGGCCCGGCGCCGGCACTTACTATTTTCTTCCATTTCATGCGCCTGTTCTGGTACCAGGTTTTCACCTGGAGCTGGCTGAGCCCCAGCGATTCGGCCAGGTCTATTCTGCGGGCGGGAGAGAGGCGGTAAGACCCGGCCCGGCCCGCGGCTTTCCTTCTGCTCTCCGGACGATGCCCCCGCGCCGCCCCGCCGGTACCTGTCGGGCGTCGAGAGGTACTTCTGCTTCTCGAAGCGCTTCTCCAGCCCCATGAGCTGCAGCTCTGTGAAGACGGTGCGGCTGCGGCGGCCCTTCTTGGCCTTGCTGCCCGGCTCGGGGCCGCCCGGCTCCAGCTTGCCGCGGAGGTGCAGCTCCAGCGGGAGGTGGGGCGAGGCGGAGCCGCCCTGCAGCCCCGAGCCGGCGGCCAGCAGCGCCGAGCCCAACCCCGAGCAGCCCAGGGGAGCCAGCGGGAACTTGAAGACTGCCGCCGGCTCCGCCTTCAGAACGGCTGCGGGAGAGAGCGGCCGTGAGAGCCGGGCGGCCCCGGAGGCTTCTCGCGTTGGGCTCCGCGCACGGCCCCGAGCCCTTCTCCCACATCAGCCGCGGGGTCACGCCGTGCCCTGCAGCCGGCGGCAGGCAGTCACCCACCCAGCGATCCTCGCGTTACCCGCGGAAGCCTTTAGGAACCATTTAGGATCTGGTGCCGACTGACAGATTCAAGCGCTGCCGGGCCCACAGCCGCACCGTCAGACTCGTGCTCGGCCCCGACGTGCGGCCGTACGAGGCCCTCCCGAGCGCCCAGGGATCTCGCACGAGTGGGCAGATCACGCTGCCCTATGTAGCACCGCGACCGCTATCCTAACACCGAGCACGGCCCGGGGGCTTCAAAAGCACAGGCGGGCCCGGCCCGAGGAACACACACGGGCACACACTGGTGTGGGCCGGCATTTCAGACCGGTGTTTAAAACAATCCTGAATCCCCAAAGCTCCAATACAGGTACTTCCCCACTACGGGGCTCGATGCTTTCCCGATTTCTTTTTTAAGAGGAAAGCAAAAATTTGGAATCCTCCCGTTCCATTCGCTTCGAGGGATAAATGAACTGCGTCTCTGCAGATAAAGACAGCTTTAGAAGCAAAAGCGTTTGCGATCGCAGATTAAATATTCGCGTTAACATAAAATAAATGTAAAATAAAATAACAAAAATCAACCGGAAAAAAAAAAAAAAAGCCAACAAACAACCCCCCCAAAACCAAAACACAACAAGAAATCTGTCCTTAATACCCTATCCTGCACCACGTCCCGACACCACACCGCGCGGCTCGCACTTTCCATCCCCCATCTCTCCACGCACAGCATCGCTCCCCACGGCCCCACCGCCGCCCGCGCCCCGCACATGCGGCCCCGTCCCCGCCCGGAGCGCTGCGGCGAAGTTCCCGAGCTCTCCTCCCATAGGAGCGGCCTCACACGCGCCGGGAACCGCGGCCCCGCTCCCGTCCAACCCCGGTGGGACATACCGAGGTGGTTGTGGTAGGGCCGCGCCGATAGCAGCGCCTGCACCCCGAACTTGAGCAGCTCCCCGGGCGGCGCCGCGCCTTTGGCGTCGGGGGGGTCGGTGAGGATCTCCTCAATCATGAAACTGCGATAGCGGTGCGAGCGGTGGTCGGGAAAGGCTTCGGCCGGGAAGTAGTGCGCAGCCCCCAGCTCCAGCGGGTGCTGCATCCTCGCCGCCGCCCGGGCCGTGCCGAGCCGAGCCCGGCCGCCGGGCCCTAACGCAGCCCCCCGGCCGCTGGGAGCCGGGCAGCGGGGGCTCTGCCCATCGCCCCTACCCCGCCCTACCCCTGGGCAGGGCCCGGCGCGGCCCCCCCCCCCCCCGCTCCGGCTCCGCGAGTGCCTCGGGACCGCCCCGAGCGCCGCCGGCCCGCGGCCGTTCCGCCGCACGCACGCACGGGGCGCGGCACCGGGCAGCACCTCCCCAACCCAACCCGGCCTGACGGGCAGCGGCTCTATTATACGGCCCCGGGGGCTGCGGAGGGCGGGGGAGGGCGCGGGAGGGGCCGCGGAGGAAGGAAGGGGCCGGGGCGGGCGAGTACCTGGAAGCGGGAGGTTACGGCGCAGCATTTGATCAGCTGCCATATAAAGCAAACGGGCCCCAAGGCGGGCAGCGGGCAGGCACACACCCAACCGAATGCGGTGCCGGAGCTGCCGTGTCCCCCCCCCCCCTCCTTACGGCAGGGTGCTCCTGGCACCGCCCGCCACCTGCCCGCCCCCTCCCCGCTTCCTCCCCTCTTCCTCGGACACGGCCCCGCTCGGCCCCGGGCAGCGCAGCGCAGCGCAGCGCCGGCCCCCGCGGAAGGACCCGAGCTCGACCACATCCCTATGGAGATGAGAAGTTGGTCGGGAAGAGAAACAAAGCGCAGCGTGAAGTGGAACGCTTCCCCCGGCGTTTAGAGCCGTTTGACGAACGTTGCGCTCGGCACAGCGGGGTTCGTTCCTTTCTCTCCAAGCCGTGCCGCGCACCACCGCACGATTCGTGCTCGCTGCCGGAGTGCCCAGAGCGGGGCTCTGCGGAGGGGGTACAGAGCCGTCCTCCGGTAGCCGCCGTCGGGGCCGATCCCGCAGCCCTGCATCCCGTCGCTGCCCCGGGCCCGGTGCCGCGGGAACCCCACACGGAGCGGAGGGCACTGGGCCGGGCCGGTCACTGTGCCGGGGTCACTCTCGTTCTGCAGTGCTGTGCCTCCTACAACAGCCAGGTGCTCTCTCAGCTGCTCAATGCTCCGTCCCGCACTGACTCCCCCGTAACCCGCACAATGTGCTGGCATGGCACGAAGCGGTTCTGCTCGGATTATCTGTTTTCTCCGCGTCCCGTCAATTTAAAACGACGCTCAACAACCCGTGAGAGGGCTTTGGGGAACACCCTCCCCATCCCCCTTTTCCACTGCGGGGTCTCGAGCGTCCCCGGCAAAAATGTATTCCCCTCCCCTCGCCTCCACCTCTGGGCAGAGCACCGACCGAGCACTTCCGACAATTCGTGGCCCCGCAGACGCCGACACGGTCGAGGGTCGGAGCCGCAGCGGTGCGGATCGGTGCGGTGCTCCGCTGCGGGGCGGCGATGCTGCTCTGCGGGAAGGACGGGGGCTTTCACCCTCCGGCTGCACCCTAGGATAATGGTTTAAAATCGTTGCAATGCGAATCCCACCGCTCAAAGAAAATACGTTGGTGTATATACATGTAAATATATAGAACTATTTTTAATCGTGACTCTTAAAATGACGGAAATCGTTTAGTTCACAGAACCCCCAAATTCGAGCACCGATGTCGCACCTCCGCCCGGCTCTGCGCCGGGGGATGCGATCCTCTGCTGCTTCCCAGCCAGCCCCATGCCGTGGGGACGTGCTGGGCACTGTCTGCCATTCGGCAGCTATGGGGCGAACGAACGCAGCCCCGAATTACGCGCACATCGTTTTCCATCTACTGCTAGGGAAACGCCGTGGTCTTCTCAAAAAGAAAACGCTCCGCATTTGACGGGTGTTTGTGTTGTTTGCACCAGGCGAAGCGTTTATCGTACCGTTAGAAATGCAGGATATTCCTAAAGCCACCTCACTGTTCGCAATTTGTTTCTATTTTTTAACCAAAACGTTCACATTCGTTTCGGGACTCATAGGTCCCTCCCAGGGCACACTTCACAGCCCTCTGCCGCTCACTGTCACACCGCGGCTGTTCCGAGGGCTGAGGGAGAAATGGGGCGAATGGAATCCCCGCGGTTCCGCATCTCTCCCGGTGCTGCGGGCGGTTCATTCCCGTTTTGAAGGGAAGGAGAGTTTTGTCTTTTTTCCCATCTTTCTTTCGTTAAGATCCCATTGAGTTTCCCTGCTCAGAGAGACCATAACACGAAAATTAGCCAGAGAAACGCTCTCCCATCGTGGTTCTCTAGGAAACGCCCTGAGTGTAATGGGGAAAGCGATTTTGTGCAGAAAGGGTGATGAGTGGGTACGGATTAGATAGAAGTATATAGATATAGATAGATACAGAGATTATATATATATATATATGGATATATGGATATGGATATGGATAGATACGTAGATACATAGATATAGCTATGGAAATAGAGATATAGAGATATGGAGATAGAGATGGAGATGGATTGACCCCACCGTCCCGC